TCCGCCTTCCCCGTCTCCATCTCCCTCTCCCCCTTGCCCGTCCCCCTCTGACTCCCTCGCTCCCTTCCCCGTCCCCCATCCCGCTCCCTCTTCCGCTTCCCCTTTCCCTCCTGCTTCCCTTCCTGCTCCCCCTTTCCCTTCCCCTTCTCCTTCTCCCTCTCTCCCTCTCCCTCCTCGCTCCGTCCCCTCACTCTCCGTTCTCTCCCTCCCCCTTCTCCTCGCCCTGCCCCCCTCTTTGTCTTCGGGGTAGGCCACCACTTTCCACGGTGGAACTTCAGTGTTCGTGTCTGCCCGCACGTCATCCCGTGCCGTTTTTTCCAGCCTCTAGCATAGGTGCGGCGGCCACGGAGGCGGCCGTCTCGACGCATGCGGTTGAGGTCTTCGGCAGTGGCCTCGTTGCTTGGCCCGTGTCATGGGATGCTAGGGTTCATCCCCGCAGTCGCCGGCCGCAGCAGAGCTTGAGGTGTCGAAAGCCTTGACCGCGACCCTAGTGACGATCGGGTCTGCCTGTGTGGAGCCGCGGGTGATGCCCATGTGCGCACCAGGCATCGTTGAGTGGACTCGGTCTCGGGGTGGTTTTTGCACGCATGCATGGGCCAGCCCCTGGAGGAGGAGGAGGAGGAGGAGGAGGAGGAGGAGGAGGAGGAGGAGGAGGAGGAGGAGGAGGAGGAGGAGGAGGAGGACACGAGGAGGAGGACGAGGAGGAGGACACGAGGAGGAGGAGGAGGAGGAGGAGGAGGAGGAGGAGGAGGAGGAGGAGGAAGAGGAGCTGGAGAAGGAGGATTATGTTTCCACCGCAACGCTTACAAGGCAGCAGACAGCTGACCTGAAAAGACTCGGCCACTACGCCTCCCTTTGAGTGTTAGTCCGAGCATCAATTATTCAATGTCCGAGAGTGCAGCACCTCCTTCCTCCTCCGAGCGCAGACGGCGACGGACAAGGGCGAGCGGTTCACTCGGATCACCGAGGCGTCGCCGTGGCGGCTCTCGACACTGGTTCTCATTCTCCTCTCGAGGCGGCGCGGAGGAGGAGAAGGAGGAGGAGGAGGAGGAGGAGGAGGAGGAGGAGGAGGAGGACGGAGGGAGGAGGAGGAGGAGGAGGAGGAGGAGGAGGAGGAGGAGGAGAGGAGGAGGAGGAGGAGGAGGAGAGGAGAGGAGGAGGAGGAGGAGGAGGAGGAGGAGGAGGAGGAGGAGGAGGAGAGGAGGAGGAGGAGGAGGAGGAGGAGGAGGAGGAGAGGGAGGAGGAGGAGGAGGAGGAGGAGTAATGCGGACGCATAAGGTATGGGCAACTAGAAGGGAGGAGGAGGAGGAGAGGAGGAGGGAGGAGGAGGAGGAGGAGGAGGAGGAGGAGGAGGAGGAGGAGGAGGAGGAGCAGGAGCAGGTGCCAGAGCAGCTGGAGGAGGAGGATGAGGAGGAGGAGGAGGAGGAGGAGGCGGAGGAGGGGGATGAGCCGCGGCAGTAGGAGGATGAGGGGCAGAAGTGGCAGGGGAAGCCAGAGGAGGACTCCCCCCTTCCGTTTTCCCCCCCTCCTGTCTCGCCTCGCGGCGGACGGCGTCCTTGGGGGCGCGCTGGCGCTCCTGCTCCACTGTTCTGCCGCCGCCAGCGCCTCCTCCTCCGCCTCCTTGTCGTCCTCGTGTCCTACTCCTCGTCCTTCGCGTCCTTGTCCGCCACCTCCTCCTGCGCCTCCATCTCGTCCTCGCCCGCGCCCTATTCCTCGTCCTTCGCGTCCTTGTCCTTCTTCTGATCTTAGCCCTGAAGTGATGAAAGGAGGACCCCTCCCGTTTTCTTGTGGGGGGGGACTGCACCCCTCGCGGCGAAAATACCGAGGGGGAAAGAATACTGAATCTTTCGCCGCGAAAGATTCATTATTCTTTCCCCCTCGGTATTTTGACCCTCGACTGGCGTTCCAGTTTTGGCTGCCTGCTGGAATTCGCGTGACGTCGAGAGGCGCGCTCCTGGCGGTCTTGGGCCGCTCGAGCACGTCTTGTGCTTGGCACCGGCGCTTGTTCCCCGGGCAGTGCTTGCACTTGGGGGTTGTTGTTCCTCTTCCAGGGAGCTGGGCCCAGGGGCGCCCCCGGCGGCCTTGTTCCCGTCCGTCGCAGCACCACCTCTCCCTGTGATAGGCCCGTGTGCGGCCCTGACAACCCCGCTCCCACCCGTCGCCCCCGCCCCGTGGCCCCCCTCCCCCCTGTTGCATTGCAGTCGCACTGCGTTGCAATCGCGGTGCGTTGTGACTGCACTGCGTTGCATTGCGCTGCTCTGCGTCGCATTGCATTGCGCTGGCATTTCACTGCGTTGCATCGCAATCGCGTTGCATTTCATTGCTCTGCATTGCTCTGCATTGCTTTGCATTGAGTTGCATTGCGTTGAATTGCGTTGAATTGCGTTGCATTCCTTTGCTTTGTATTGTTTTGCTCTGCATCACATGAGGCGTTCCAAAAAGGGCCTTGCCTTCGAGGATCGAAGGAGTTGCGAGGATCGGCGGGAGGCGGCGGAAGGTCAGCGGAAGCAAAACGAGGCCGCCTCCGCGGGCGGAAGCCTGCGGAAGGCTGGCGGAAGCCAGCGGAAGTAGCAAGTCGACCTCCCAAAGAAAACGTTTTTTGGGTTCAGGGTTCCGAAATAGCTCACGCAGACAGCACCACATAGAGGGCACCACCCAGCTTGCACCACATTGAGTGCACCACCTAGATTGCACCGCATATATGATCCAGGGTCGAGGGTTCACGGGCCCCCCCCCAGATGGTATGGTCCCAGGATTCCTCGGGCCCCCCCCCCCCAGATGGTATGGTCCCAGAGACGACGACGACGACGACGACGACGACGACGACGACGACGACGACGACGACGACGACGACGACGGCGACGACGACGACGACGACGACGACGACGACGACGACGACGGCTGCGGCGGCGACGACGGCGGCGGCGGCGACGACGACGACGACGACGACACGACGACGACGGCGGCGGCGGCGACGACGACGATGACGACGATGACGACGACGACGATGACGACGACGACGACGACGATGACGACGACGACGATGACGACGACGACGACGACGACGACGACGAGGACGACGAGGACGACGAGGACGACGAGGACGACGAGGACGACGACGACGACGACGACGACGACGACGACGACCTCTGAACCACCACAGCACCACACCACATCCACAGGGGGGGGGAGGGGGGCACCGCAGCGCAGCACCACGCCACGCCCATTTCTGAACCACCACAGCACCACACCACATCCACAGGGGGGGGGGAGGCACCGCAGCGCAGCACCACGCCACGCCCACAGGGGGGGCGGGGGGGACCATCGCGCGGGGGGGGGGGCCCAATGGCATCAGAATTAGGGGGGGGGGGGCCCAAGCCCTGGACCATATATTGCAGTACATCGCTATTTGGGATACACGCTGGTCCACATGATTTGAGAACTCTTTGACTCACCTTACTCGTTCTCCTCCTCCTCATCCTGCTCCGCGCCCTCCTCCTCCTCCTCCTCCTTGTCCTCCTCGCGCCTCTCCTCCTCCTCCTCCTCCTCCTCCTCCTCCTCCTCCTCCTCCTCCTCCTCCTCCTCCTCCTCGCCTCGGCTGCCTCCGCAGGTGTGGAACGACACAGTGTCCAACCTCACGCTGATGGCCATGGGGTCCAGCGCCCCTGAGATCCTGCTGGCCGTCATCGAGACGGTCGGCAACGGCTTCGAGGCGGGGCCCCCCAAGGGAGCGGGCACCCTCGCCGCCAGCGCTCTCGCCCCTCCTCTCCCCCTCGCCTGCTGCTGCCACTGCCTCTGGCCCTGCTCCTCGCTCTCGTCGTCCCCCTCGTCCTCCTCCACGTTCTCCTCCTCCTCTCTCTCCTCCTCCTCCTCCCCTTCCCTCTCCTCTCATCATCCTCGTCGTCGTCCCCTTCGTCCCCTCTCCTCCTCCTCCTCCTCCTCCTCCTCCTCCTCCTCCTCCTCCTCCTCCCCCTCCTCCTCCTCCTCCTCCTCCCCCTCCTCCTCCTCCTCCCTGGGGAGGTCAGAGTCTGTCGAGAACGCCCCCCCCTCCCCGCCCAGATCTCGGCGGCCCCTAAACGGCGCAGTGCGGTGGCCACACCGTGGGGGAAGCCAGTGAGGATTCGGAAGGACCGCACGGCTTTGAGACTTGGGTCGCTCTCCGAGGACGTCTCGGGCGATTGGGGCACCTCCGAGATCCTGACAAACCGTGCGGTGACGGACGGTGCGGTGAGGTATTCGGGGGTTCCGAGGTCACCGCACGGTCTGTCACCGCATCGTTTTGGGACTCCCCAAAGGCCCCTCCCCCCTAACACCCACAGGAGCGACCCCCTAGAGCGACCCCCGGCGCCCTTGTTGTCCCATGCGCCGTAGAGCCTCATGCGCAGGAGGTGTCCGACTCGTCGCCCTCCTCCCTGCCTGGTCCCTGGGCTGCGCGCGGCCATGCCTCTCTCGGAGGAGGGAGCGGGGAGGGGGGCGGGCATGATTTCCATCCATACCCACTGCGTCTTGGACTCTCTGGGAAGGGGCGCCAACAGGCCGCGGCGCAGTGGATGTGGATAAACATCTGACCTCTTGGTGCGAGATTGTCTTATCCATATCCACGGCGCCACTGGTATCGGAGGCAGGGAACCCGAGACTCCAAGACGCAGTGGACATGGAAGAATCCTGCCCGCAAGGGGGGCGGGCGGTGAGGCTGCAGCTCCGAGGCTGGGCGCGCCCAGGGAAGCCCTGCGGTGGCCAACGACGTCGGAGATCGCCTCCCGCCCCCCTGGACCCCCGAGAGGGCAAACCTTGGCAGCGCGACAGTTTCTCGTTCGTCCCCAGACAACCGGCGTGTTTTTTTTGTTTGTTTCTTTCTCTTGTTTTGCCCACGCATCGAAGAAGAAAAAATCGCCATGAACAGAAGCTGTTGGCGCTCCGCGCGGATTTCTTGGATCTGCGTTGGGCCCCCCTGGCAACGCCTCTGGCGCCGCCCCTGGCGCGCTCCGCGCGCCAGCGAGGGGGGTCTGGCGCGGATCCAAGAAATCCGCGCGGAACGCCAAAAGTTTATGTTGATGGCGCTTTTTCTTCTTCTAACGAGCCCCGGCCCTTTCCTCAGGACTAGGGCTGGACCTACACGGTGTTTTTGCGATTTCGTGGGCCGTTTTCGGATTGTTTTCGCTTCGCAGCAGAGACAAAGAGGACAGAACGAAGGACAACGAAAACAAAACGAATACGAAAAACACTGTTTGGCTCGAGCCCTGCTCAGGGCTGGCCTTTCGTACTGAGTCTCTTTTTGACTGGTGCTGGGGCCCGGCGAGGGCTCCCGGAGGCCGAGAATGGCGCAAACCTACACCTTGCATTTATTCAGGACGTTGGTTGTCTGGGACTGCGCTTGAAACTGGTTCTGCACGTGCTCTCGGGTCCGCTCCCCCCCTCTTCTGCCCCATATCACCTGACCTTGTCCGTTGCGCGCGGGCATACGTGGGGCTGTCCAGAGCGAAAAGCTTAGATCATCGGCCGGCACCGCCCTCCCCCGCATCCCAGAGAAACTCAGAGGCTCTTCAATGCTGCTGGTGTCCTCCCCCCGAAAGCTCTCGGCTGGCAATTCAAGTCGTCCTTCCCCTCCTCGTGCTTCCCCTCATCATCATCATCATCATCATCATCATCATCATCATCATCATCATCATCATCATCATCATCATCATCATCATCATCAGCATCAGCATCAGCATCAGCATCAGCATCAGCATCAGCATCATCATCATCACCATCATCATCATCGTCGTCATCACCATCATCATCATCATCACCATAATCATCATCACCATCATCATCATCACCATCATCATCATCACCATCATCTTTATCATCACCATCAGCATCACCATCATCATCACCATCGTCATCACCATCATCATCATCATCACCATCATCATCACCATCATCATCACCATCATCATCACCACCATCATCAGCATCATCATCATCATCATCAGTATCACCATCATCACCATCAGGGATCCTCATCCCTCCCCCGATCAGCAGCGGTGGCCGCCGCGGGGGAAAAAATGAATTCCCAAGTATTGTTTGGGCCCCAGCCCGTTCACAAGCCTGCGCAACAAGAAATTTGGCTTTCCAGTTTTGATCATAGCTGCTTTACAAGACACTCGGAGGTTAGCCTGGGGTATCGCCGAGAAGCACACAACTCTCCCCATGCTGGCTCCGACCACCTGGCCAGGTGGTTGTGGCAGCGGTGGTGGTCATCGTCGTCGTCGTGGTCGTCAACGTCGTCGTCGTCGCCATCGTCGTCGTCGTCGTCGTCGTCGTCGTCGTCGTCGTCGTCGTCGTCGTCGTCGTCTCAGTCGCCGTCGTCCTCGTCCTCGTCCACATGCTGCGCTCGGACCGCCTGGCCGAGGTCTGGCCGCCGGGGCGGCCCCCCGCCCTCCCCTCGGGTGGCGGGCCAGGCCGGCTCGCTGGGCCCAGCGACCATCGTGGGCAGCGCGGCGTTCAACCTGCTGGTCATCACGGCGGTGTGCGTCAGGAGCCCTTTTCCTTCTTCTCCCTCCGTCTCCCTCCTCCTCCTCCTCCTCCTCCGCCTCCTCCTCCTCTCCCTCCTCCTCCTTGTCCTCCTCCTCCTCCTCCTCCTGCTCCTCTCATCCTTTCATCTTCCTCCTCCTCCTCCGTGTTCTCCTCCTCCTCCTCCTTGTCCTCCTCCTCCTCCTCCTTCTCCTCCCTCCTCCTCCTCCTCTCCTCCTCCTCCTCCTCCTCCTTGTCCTCCCCCTCCTGCTCCTCTCCTCCTTTCCTTTCCTCCTCCTCTTCTCCTCCTCCTCCTCCTTCTCCTCCCCCTCGTCCTCTTCGTCTTGCTCCTCCTTCCTCCTCTTCTTCCTCCTCCTCACATCCTCTCTTTTCTCCTCCTTCTCCTCCTCCTCCTCCTCCTCCGCCTCCTCCTCCTCCTCTTGCTCGTCCCCTTGCACTCCCTCTCTCCTCTCCGTTCCCTCGGTAACTTTTGCACCACCCTCACTCGTTCGGGCAAAGCACATTGAGATCGCATGAATGCGGGGTTCACCCCCGAAGTCCTGAGCAAGACCGAACAGAGTCGGCGGCAAAGGTCTTCGATTGAATATGGTCTCGTCGTCACAACTTGCACTTCGCAACTGGTTCTCACTCCTTATCCTACTCCTCCTGTCTCTCCTCCTGCTCCTCCTTCTCCTCCTTCTCCTCCTCCTCCTCCCTCTTCTTCTTCCGCCTTCTCTTCCCTCCCCTCCTCCTCCTCTTCCGCCTTCTCCCTCCTGAGAGTGCGTTTTTCTACTTCTGGCGCGTAGCGGCCATTACCCGCCCCCCATCTCTCCCGTGTAACGGAACTGATCGTACGTAGTGTGGGAGGGCCTGGGCCCCCTCCACATTCTGGTGCCCGCGCGCATACGGCGGCGATCGCAGCACACCCCCGCCCCGACGTGCCCCCCCCCCCCCCGCCCAAGCGATACCATGACCTAGGGCTCCAACACCCTGGGGTACGCTCGTTACCCGAGATAGTTAAGATCAATCTCCCTCCTCCTCCTCCTCCTCCTCCTCCTCCTTCTCCTCCCATTCCTCCTCCTCCTCCTGCTCTTCCCATGCCTCCTCCTCCTCCTCCTCCTCTTCCCCCCCCCTTCCTCCATCACTGGGCACCCTACGGATGGCAAGAGAGCGTCAGGAGCCCTCGCTGTCGTCGTCTGTCGTCTGTCGTCGTCTGTCGTCGTCGTCGCCGCCGTCGTCGTCGGTCGTCGGTCGTCGGTCGATCGTTCGTCCTTCGTCGTCGGTCGTCGCCGTCGCCGTCGTCGTCGCCGTCGTCGTCGCCGTCGTCGTCGCCGTCGTCGTCGTCGCCGTCGTCGTCGTCGTCGTCGTCGTGGTCGTCGTCGTCTTCCTCCGTCGTCATCGAGCCTTGTCTACGTCTTTGCAGCTTCTCTGTTGGGCCCCACGGATACATCCTGAGGCCTCCAGGGGTGCTCTTGGAGGCCTCTGGGGACCTTGGGAGCTCGCGTAGTCGTCGTCGTCGTCGTCGTCGTCGTCGTCACCGTATTCGCCGCCGCTGTCTTGCTCCTTCTCCCTCGCTCTTTCTCCCTCTTTTTTTTCTCCCTATTCCTGCATCCTCCCCTGTTCCTCCTTCCTCCCTCCTTCCCTTTTCCCTCCTCCTCCCTCCCTTGTTTCTTCTTCCGCTCTCCTTTCTCCTGGACTCCACCCCAAGAAAGCTGGGATCACGGTCGACCAGCCAATTTTGGAGTTTGGACGGTGATGTGAAGGAACTCTTCATTTCTCCTGCGCTTTCTGCTCCTTCTCACTCTCCTCCTGCTCCTACTGCTCCTCCTCCTGATCCTCCTCCTCCTCCTGCCTCTCTGTCGCTTCCGTCTGATGGGATGCGCAATCCGTCTGTGTGGGGCGAGGAGCACGGCGAAGAGGAGTGGGGAGAGGGTCGGGAGCGGGAGCGGGACAGAACAGGAACGGATGTTGACGACGGTCACTATGTCGATGATGATGTTGATGACGATGCTGATGCTGATTGTGATGATGATGCTGATGCTGCTGATGATGATGATGTTGCTGCTCATGATGACGGTGATGGTGATGCTGATGCTAATGGCGACGAACATGATGGTGCTGCTGTTGCTACTGATGATGATGCTGATGATGATGCTGGTGACGAACATGATGATGCCGGTGTTTATGCTGATGATGATGCTAATGCTGATATTGATGATGCCGAGTCTGATGATGATGATGATGATGATGATGATGATGATGATGATGATGATGATGATGATGATGATGATGATGGGTGGTTGCGATGCTGATGATGGTGCTGATGATGCTGGTGATGGTGGTGGTGATTGTACGGGTGATGGTCATTATGATGAGGATGATGGTAATAGTGATGATGATGATAATGTTGATGATGATAATGTTGATGATGATGCTGATGACAGGAGGAGCTTCTGCTGATGACCGCGGTGATCATGACGCTCATGATGCTGGTGGTGTCAGTGGCGATTGTGATGGTGATGAGGATGTGAATTAGGATGAGGATGAGGATAAGGATGATGGTGATGCTGATGAGGATTAGGATGCTGGTAATTATGCTGCCGATGCTAATGCTGGTGACGATGATGATGATGCTGATGATGATGATTGATGCTGGTGATGATGCTGATGCAGATGGTGATGACGACGATGATACTGAGGATGAAGATGACGATGATGATGCGGATACTGATGTTGATGCTGATGTTGATGATGCTTACGCTGACACCGGCGATGATTGTGGTGGCGGTGGTGATGGTGATGGTGATGGTGATGGTGATGGTGACGCTGCTTCTGATGGTGATGCTGTTGCTCATGATGATGACGATGACGATGATGACGATGATGATGATGATGATGATGATGATGATGATGATGCTGGTGCTGATGCTGATGCTGATGACGATGACGATGACGATGATGATGGTGATGATGATGCTGATGCAGCTGATGATGCTGTTGCTGCTGCTGATGATGATGCGGGGTGTTGGTTCAAGCATGATGATGACGGTGATGATGATGCTGATGATGCTTCTGATTATGATGGTGACAGTAATGATTATGGTGATGCTGATAGTACTGGTGCTGATAATGCTCATGATGATGATCATGTTGTTGATGATGATAATGGTAGCGATGATGATGGTGCTGATGATGATAAGGATGCTGATGTTGATGCTGCTGTTGCAGATGATCATTATGATGGTGGGTGGTTGGGGTGATGATGTTGAATGACGATGAAGACAATGATGATGCTGATGTTGCTGATGATGAGGAAGACGGCGAGGACGAGGAACAGGAGCTGCACAGAGGTGGTGAGCATGTCCAGGGGAAGAGAGGGTTGGTGGTGAGCCGGAGAAGGCTGCATCGGCACGCTCCATGCCGGCGCAGTCGCCTTCAACATGCAAGCCTGTCCCCCAGCGTCATTCCAGAGGGCGAGACCCGCGCGATCGAGGAGACGCAGGTCTCCCGCCCCCCTCGCTGGACAACAGGCCACGCCAGCATGCGGTCAGGAACTTTGGCCTAGCGCGTCGACCCGTCGGCTCTGGCCCACCACGCTGCAGCGCGACACGCCATCCGCATCCCAGCCTCCGGGCGCCGTCGTCCCGAGCCTCTCCGACCCTCCCGCCCCGCGACGCGGAGCGACACGCTGCCCGCTTGCAGTGCGTGGCGTGTCGCGGGTGCCGCCGCGGCGACACGCTGAGCAACAGTTCCCGACCGTACCTCTCTCGGAGGCCCGCGTCGGTCTCTTTCGGGTCGGCCTTCGGCCCGTCTCCCCGCACTCCTGGCGCTGCCTCTGGTGCTGCTCCTGGCGTTCTCCGCGCGTCCGGGACAAAACAGTGTGTGTGTGTGTGTGTGTGGGTTCGTGTGCCGAGTTATAGCCAGGTCGAGCGAGTCAGAGGGCCCCGCCTATTCCCACCCACCCCCCCTCCCGCAACATAATAAGCAACGGTGGCGCAAGGTGATGTTGTCACCGCAGCGCGTTCCCACGCAAACGGAGGGCGCTCTCGCGCGGCCCCGCTTCCGAAGACTCGGCGAAGGAGACAATACGCGCGCCGCGCAGGGGCGGGAGCAGTTTGTGTGTGTGTGTGTGTGTGTGTGTGTGTTCGCGACCTCTCGTACACTGTGCCTTCGACAATGCTCGATCGCAATTAGCACTCCCACCTGCTGCCCGCGCTTGAGGACCCTCTGCGCCGCCGACTTGAAAAAGTGTGTGTGTGTGTGTGTGTGTGTGTGTGTGTTTTGCATTGCTTCCTAAGTGTACGATTGTCGTCTTGTTGTGCCTGCCTGGGCCTGTCCCCCTGTCTCCGTCACTCGTCCTCTCGCCGCTGCTGTGACCGCTGCACTGCGCCTCCCTCTTCCGTCTCTCAGCCCTCGCTGCCCCTGCCCGGGCGTGCACACGGCATGGCCGATCCTCGTGGATCCCTGTCCTGTCGTCTGAGGGGCCGGCCGCGCGCGCTCTTGGTTTCCCATCTGACCAACTTGCCTCGTCGCCGTTTCTGGTTGTTGTTGTTGTTGTTGTTGTTGTTGAACATTATTAATTCTAAAGAATAATTATTGTTGGGCCCCCTGGTGCGCGCCCCCCCCGCCGCGCCTAGGCCGCAGCCACGTTTTCATCATTTTCGTGAGGAAGCCTCAGGTAATTCGAGGTGATCAAGATCCGGTTGTTTTGTTGTAATCCGTTTTCCCTTGCAAAAAACACTATAAAATGACATTTCTTGTTCTAATATAATCAAATTTCAAGAATCCCTTGCAAAAAATAAGGTAAAGTGGACATTCGCGCGCGCAAGACGAAATCCTTCCAAAAGCTTAGTGTTCGGAGCGATTTCAACATAAAAACATCAAAAAACCAATGGTTTTTCAACAAAAAAATGTCAAAATCTCATCCCGCGCGCTCTTGCGGATTCGTAGGAAACCCAACACTTTTTAAACATTTCTGTCAAACGGGCTTTTGCGAGCAACTTTTTCGAACTTCTGCGACAACGGTTGCGCACCTGCCAGGGCCATCATCCCTGTCAAATAATACCATGCGGGACACATTCGTTTTTTCTTCGCGCGCGCACGCCGAAATCTCCAAAAACCATTGGGTTCTGTGGGTGTGTACCCCACGCCAGTGTAGTAGCCACGGTCGTCCGCACGCCACGAAGTGAAGTGTCCCAACGTCATAGGGCGGGAAGCTGGGTTTGGGTGGTCGCGAAGAGTCGTTTGGATATTTGGTAGAGCTTGTAATGCCCCCCCACGAAGTGGGGGTATTGCCTGGTGTCGTATGAAAACCCTGGCACTGGGGAGAACACCACGCGTTCGGGTAAAATGATTGTTGTTGTTGTTGTTGTTGTTGTTGCTGCTCTTGTTGCTGTTGTTGTTGTTGCTGCTGCTGCTGCTGCTGTGTGTGTGTGTTTGTTTGTGTGTTTCTGTGTGGTTGTGTGTGTGTGTGTGTGTCCGTGAGTGCGCGCGTGTGTGTGTGTGTGTGTGTGTGTATGTATGCGCGTGTGCGTGTGCGTGTGCGTGCGTGTGCGTGTGCGTGTGTGTGTGTGTGTGCTTTGGCAGTGCTGCCCCTGCAGCCGTGGGCCCGAACGACCCCGCAGCTTCCCCCTGCGTGTTCACGGGCCGCGCTGGCACTCCGCGCGCCTACATCCCTCCGCCCGGCTCCGCTGCCGAGCCGCTTCTCCGCCCCCAGTAGGTCCCGACCCTTTCCCCGGTGCCAGTTTTTCCTCCTGAGTCGTTTTTGTTACGGTCCCGAGGCCCGGCGAGGGTCCCCCGAGGCCGAAATTTGCCAACAACCTCCCGTACTGAATTTTCCACCCAGGGAAACGAAAAATTACATAAACACAAAAACTCGGAGGTCCGCGCGGATTCCTCGGATCGGCGCTGGAACCCCCCTGGTGGCGCCTCGGGCGCCGCCCCTGGCGCGCTCCGCGCGCCAGGGAGGGGGGTCGGGCGGCGATCTGAGAAACCCGCGAGGACCTCAGAGTTATTATGTTTATGTCATTCCTCGTTCCCTTCCCCCTATTACCGACGCGATCATGTCTGGGGATTGGACCACGACGAGGGCCCCGACGAAGACCAGCCAGCTCCTGGCCGGCTCCTGGCTCCAGGCCGCCACCGCCGCCCCCCCCAGGGGGGCGCGGCGCCGCTGCCCAGGGGCGAGGCTCCAACACAGAGACCTCTCGCCGGCTCCGCGGGTCGACGAGGCGTATATTTGTTTCACTTCGAAACATTTTTTTGTATAACAAAACGTTTCTTCTTGGAATCCCAAGATCTATTCATTGGAATTCCCCCCAAAAAACAATTTCTGAATTCAAAAAAGAGTAACCTGTCGCGGGAGGGGCCCTTGGTCTTGGCATCGCTCGGACGTGTGCAGTTTTCTCGGCGACGACCATCGAGGAGCATTCATCAGCCACGCGCAGAGGGGAGTTCAGGGAGGCGGGAAGGCTTCTTAGAAACACCTCTGCTTCTTAGAAGGCGCGGGCCGTCTCTATATACATGAAGGCCCAGCGCCTTCTAAGAAGCAGCCTCCTTCTAAGAAGCCTTCCCCCCTCCCCCTACCCCCTTGTGCACGCCGCCAAATTCTGGGCCATCTTGCGAACAACACGCGCACGAAACCGACAAATGCATGGGGGGAGGACGTCCGAGTGATGGCAAGGTGGGGTCCCGCGATCGCCGAACGCGATGCGATAGTAGCTTCTTGCGCGCTTGTGTTCCCCTGTTAAGCCGCGCACCAAGAGACACTTTTATCCAGGGTCACTCTCGCGTGTAGCCGAGCGGGGCCTGATGGGCGCGAGTCCCTTTCGCAGCTCCTGGCCGCCATGCAGGACGAGGAGGATCGGCCACGAGCAGAGGCGGGTATGAGGGAGGGGGGAAGGCTCCTTAGAAGCACCCCTGCTTCTTAGAAGGCGCGGGCCTTGTCGGTAGGTGCAGGGCGGGCGCCTTGTAAAACACAGCCTCCTCCCAAGAAGCCTTACCCCCCTCGCCTATCCCCTTGTTCGCGCCGCCGACTTCCGCAGCTCTTGGTCGCCATGCAGGACGAGGAGGGCCCGCAGCGGTGCGGAATCCCCCTCCCATCTCGGGCCACCTTCGACAACAGGCTCTGAGTCGGCGACGGGCCCAGCACCTTCAGCTGCGACCTCTGCTCCTGCGGGGGCGCAGGTGCTCCTGCTGCCCGTCCCCGGACGGGCTCGGCGGCCCGGGTGGTTCGTTCGTCTTCCACCTCGCCGTCGACCGTGGCCTGGTGCTCATCGATGGTCTGCCCCGACGGGACGACCTCTCCAAGTCATAGAAGACCGACCTTCACACTCTCCGCTGGGCGTGCAGCCGCAGCTGCGCTGAGCTCTGGATGCCCAGCCCCGACGACGCGACGGCTGTGCTCCACTCCGGCGCGGCCGAGATTGCCCCACGCGGGTGCGGGGCGGTTGCCCCGCATCATGATGCGCGGTGCTCTGCCGCCCCCCCCCTGCCGCCGACCCCCCCGCCCCGCCTGCTGCCGCGCCGCCCGCCCGCGCCCGGTGCTCCCCGTGCCCGCGCCTTGGACCCGCTGCTGCCCGCCTTGCTGCCGCCCCTGCTCCCGCCGGCCCGGCCGCTGCCTCTGCCGCTGCCCCCTTGGCTCATTTTCCATATGAGTCCGCCTGGTTCTGCTTTAATGTGCCCTGTGCGCTTCTCTACCGCTTTTCATTCGGCGCGTTGGACATCATTTTAGCGTTGAAGCAAGGAGGAGGTGGACACGCCAAGGCGGTGGCAAGCTGCTGCACTCCCAGAAGTTCCTCTGAGGGGCTGGTCACTTTCTTTCCATTTGGCGCGCGCGCGCGTCGGCGACTTCTTTGGACGGCGTGGCGCTGCGCCCGCCCGCGGACGACGGAAAAGTGTGTGTGTGTGTGTGTGTGTGTGTGTGTGTGTGTGTGTGTGTGTGTGTGTGTGTGTGTGTGTGTGTGGGGGGGCCAACGCGACCCGCTTGCCCCGCTCAGACATCCTCCAATGTTTCTTTTGTTCCCCACCTCCAAAGCGGGTTTTTTGTTTTCTCTGGACACACTCCGCGCAGGAACCTCACCTCTCCCCCACTCTCCGCCTCACTAACGCATTCACCCCGTCATCGGTTATCCTCACGATCGGCCACCATCATCACCACCACCACTCATCACCACACCCAGTCACTCACCATCGATCACCACCACCATCGGCCATCGATTATCACCATCATCATCAGCATCCCCACCACCGCCATCATCATCATCATATTCAGTCGGACTTCGCACACCCTCTCTCATCACTCAGCATCGTTTTCTCTGGACACCCCGCGCAGGAACACACCACCACCACATCCCCTTCCTCCTCATCATTTTCATCATCATTCATCAGCAGCATCATCACCATTCGATCACTCATCATCATAGCATCATCACCATCATCATCACCACTCATCATCATCACTCGCTCACTCATCACTTCCTCATCACTCACCCCCTGGCCTGA